ATTCATCCGTGGCATGGGGCTCGTGAATTTTTTTCATTCTGAGTTTATCATGTTATATCTAGTGTTCATGTTTTAATATGTTAGTTAATATTTGTGATTGATTAAAACTATGTAGAGCGCTAGATTCTTTTTACCGCTACAGTCAGAACCGCTTAGAAACAGCTCATAAAGTATTCTGACTGTCTGGCGTGAACTGTTTGAATTGGATAATTAAAAATAAATTTTTTAATTTACGAGATTTTAGAATTTACAAAAATTATATTAAAAGTACAAATAAAAGTATCGCGTAAACATGTTGAAATTAATCATCTCAACTTTCAACATGACGTACACTTGACGTTATTAACAAAAAAATATTCTTCATTGTTAAATGACAAAATCTCCCAACTTGTCAACCAATGCCTGCGAACAACATTATTGATTACCCCACCAAATTCTACTAATTATAATCATTTCGGTTCACGGTTCTTATCGCTTGTACAAATACTTAAAATTATCAAGTTGCTTCACAAAAAAAGCAATTATTTAATGCTTAAAAAAGCTGTTGATGACTCAGGTTATCAACTGTCAAACTGATCATACTGGATTTTGGTGTTGGAAAAATAATTGAGATGGACATGTGGCCACACTGGTCATTGTATACGGTAAAGTACGGGCATGACCTTAATTAATTAATTTGGCACGGTTAAACTTGCTTAGCATTAGCTTATACGTTAATATAATTATGTTTTGCAGTAGATTCCATGTTAATGTTGGGAATCAAAATTATATATACTATTTTTACACTTCACGATTTAACATATTATTGCTTTCATATAAAAAAAAAGGGAAAATTTTGGATTAAGCTCTTCAATCTTTAAAGTAGTGTGGTTTGATTTCAAACTTATTTAAATTTGAGAATCTGGGTTCCTATGTGATAGGAATCTGGGTTCTTATTTACAGTGCATATCACTTCAGCTGTCTCTAAATAACACGAGATCAAAATATCTCAACTTTGTTCTTTATTTTACATATATTAAATACATTGGATGAAACAAGAATGAATGAAACTTAACGAGTCAATTGACTTCAATCCAATAAGATCGATCTCAAGAACTTGCGTAAAATGTTGGACACAACTTCCATGTAAATTGTTTTTAAGATGGATAGTATGTTAAATGGATAACATTACTCGAATTCCTTAAAACATTGCCGTCAATTTGTACATCTCCGTACCACGCGGAATCTAATTAATTTTCTCTCTAATACTAGTGGACCACAAAAATAAGTGATTGCCTAATTATGCAACAAAAATAAGTAGATGAAAAGTTAAAAGAAAGCGGTGGTTGGGTATAGAATAAGTTGGTTAAGTAGAGAATATTTGTCATTTAGTTCATATTTGAACACTGCAAGAACATGGCTGGTGTTGGAATCACGTGCACTGGTTTTGCTGTTTGGTTTTGACAGAATAGAATTTAGTGAAAATATTTTTATTTTTTGTGTGGTCCTAATCAATTTATTGCTGCTGTTCCTAGATTTTTCAGTTCACAAAATTGCACTGCACCACCATGTTTTGTCATGTTCACAAGATACATACACAAATTATTAATAAGATGTACACGGTCTAGTAAAGTTCGATTTCGTTGCAAACTGAATCAAATCGAGAATGTCAAATTTAATTATTTATGGAACCGAACCGAACCAAATCGAATAGTTCGATTTCGATTTCAGTTTGGCTCCAAATCCATTGTAAGAATTTCAACAACATGGGTTAATTCTTCTCCAAAAAGAAAAGTGGAAACAATTTTCTTTTAAATGGGTAAAATTCTTCCACGTAGTTGATGCATTACACCATTTTTGATTTTCAAAAAGGTAAATAAAAATTCGGTCCATATAGAGCATTTAGTTCTTTGAGAACTCGAATCGATTCTTAATTCTAATACTTCGAGCCATGTAAAAGTTAAAATAGAAACGACTCGACCCAATACTTTTATCCACGCTAGCAATTATAGATAATATAAAATAATTTCATTCTCTTAATAAAATATAGACATTCATGGTGGTCAATTTGCTACTCTCCTATCGCATCATCCAAATTAAACCAAAACATAGAAAATTAATTATTTAAAAAAAAAGTTTAATCTACTTATACTGTAAGTTATTGAGATGTGAGATATTGCTAGATCATATAAATAATTCATAGAATAAGGATGAGAGATAACCTGTCCCTTTCTTTCTTATTTTTCTTGCAAATATCATGTCAAGAAAATTAATAAAACCTAGTCAGAATTTAGTTGATTAGACTTTTACCTACAATCATGCATATGACAATTTTAACTTTTATACATTTAATTGTCAAAAGTAATTATAAATAATCATTTGTTTTTTCGTAAAAGTTTCGAGAGTAGATACTAAGTTGAAATGGCAAAGATCTGAATTTATCGATGAGCCATCCCAAAAGTTACATTAAAAGAAAGAAAAAAAAAGAGAGTATTTACTCAATAAAATTTGCAGATCTGAAGAATTATTAATTGTCAACCATGAGAAAATAATAAATGAGGTAGCCTAAGCTGGCAAAAAAGTTGCTCTGAACTATGTCTAGGCCCAGTTTTCTACCAGCCCAACATACACAAACATGTTGGGACAGACAGACAGACACTCAACTTGTAATTCTGTGTAATATTCATTCATTTTTCAAAGATTTCAAATCAGATCAAATGCTAAAACAATGCTGTTCATATATCATCGATCGACCTAAAACCTCGACTTTTACCACTCGAGTTGCATAGTACAGAGTCGTAACACAAATTCTTCCATCCTTCGTACTACGAGAGAATTAACTTTACCCACAAAGGGTAGTTCAAAGAATTCTTTATACCAATGAAAAGGATAACATTTAGTCAATATAAAAAAAGGAATCTACTCTCTTGACACTGGGAAAGAAAAGAAAAAGATCAGTTCCAATGTGTCCCACTAACCATAAATGATGAAATAATGGATAGAAATGACATCTAAGATGAGATGAAAAATACAGTGTTATGTTTGTAGATAAGAAAAATCAGTTTCTATGTACCAAAATGACCATAAAGGGAGAAAAAAAAAGTCGAAATGACATTTGAAATGAGAACATATAATGGAAATTATGAGGTGAGAATAAAGCAGCAATAGAAAAATAAACCGTTTACTTGACTTGATTAGGTACCAGATCCATCTGAAATAATTATCTGTATAACAGAAAAGTAGAAAAAAGATAATTTTTCCTTTTATATGGCCCCCACAATACTATTCTAAGAACAAGTGAATCTTACAACAGAAATCTCAGCATATAGTCGAACTCTGATGAACTAAAACACTCGACAGAAAAAGAAAATAGATATTAGGAAAATGTTCAGGTTTCTAATAAAACACTATGTTTGGCAAGCCGAACTGATTGCTGTGAAGCAGATAAGTGAGCTTTTTGATCCTTACTAGTACCAAACAAAATTCTCATGGTTACCTCATGTGGTTATTTATGCAACTTTAGTCCGAGTGATGATCATCCGGCTAGATTTTGTTGCATTCTCTAAATCAAGTCCCAAAAGTCTGAAACAGTGAAAGGGGGAAAGAGTTCTCCAGCTCATTTTTGACCTGACTGAAAAGACCAGCAATGTGTAAGCGATAAAATATAAAAGTATAAAATACACATCAGAAGCAAACAACAAGATTGACAACGTACGTGCAAACTTCATTTGTTGAAGAAACCGTTAACGTAAAGGGTCTTTGTTTACTTCAAGATAAAAAGACAAAGCCGCACACACCAAGTGTAAAGAAGCAGAATAATTCTCACGAAAGTGTATATAGAAGAATATCTGATGGCACCACGGCATACATAATTAAGTTAATAGTAATGAAAGTGGAAAATTATGTGCGTTTCAATGACTAAAAGAAAACAGACCATTGGCAGGTGTTCTGACGATCTTACAGACTCGAGATATCATCATATGATCAAAAAGCTAGTTGTTTGGGTATAATTTACAAAGCTCATAAATGATTTCCAGTAATACAGTCATATCAAGCATTAGGAACTCCCTTAAGTCCCCCCATTTGATGAAATTTTTTCTTCGATATTTGCCTCGCTTCTCAAAATATAGAACCTTCGGTAAAGTTAGTGCGTTTAATGTGAACAACTATAATCTTCTTATCATAGAATAGGTTATTAATTAATATGGTCACATGCCCTAGTTTTCATCTTCTATTTCTATGTCATCTGCATTTTTAATTTGAAAACTGCCAATCTAGAGTCAATGCCATAAACAGCCTCTGGATATATCTTAAAACTATGCCTGTGGTTTTTAGGAACCTAACCACAAGTTTAATTCATGCAAATCACCTTCCCATATTTCTTATTGTTTAGCAGAACTCTGGAAACCTACAATACACCTCTGTAAAGTTCTAACTTCTAATATCCAACAAACACATCAAAATCGTGTGGAGAATTCACAATAACGATGATGTAACTTCGACTAGAAATAAATGTAAACCTTGAATAATTCAAGTTGAAATTCTCTTTTTAACCCAAGAGAAAAATCCAATCAACCAATCCCTCTGTTTATCATGATTAACGTCCTTGCAGCAGGCTCAGTACTGTCAAGAGAAGATTTCTTGTATAATTGGTGCATTATTCTAATAGAAGCAGATATCTTAGATAGAAAAGAATAACGTACATAATGATAATTGGTAATAAAATACTTATAAACCAGGAGTAGATATATGAAGAAAAATATCCATTCAATTTAATTGATAGGATACTAAGATAACAGAAAAGAAAAAAATGTTTTAAGTACACTTAATCTCTTGCCATCTACTTCAAAAAGTCCCATTTCTTTGTCTGCAAGATTAACGTGTCACAATCCAGCAAATTAATGAATTCCACTTTACCTAGAAATGGAGCTTGATGCTGTCCTAAACAGTATCCGAAAAGCCAAACACAAAGCATCTTTATGTTTTTTAACAATCAATCTTGGGAAAAATATTCTATACCATTAAGGGAAGAGGCGTCCCAATAGAATCCCAGTGAAGACAAGTGCGCCAAACCACTTATTGGAGACAAATCTAATGATAACATCAAAAAGGGAAACAGATTATTTTCCCAAAATTTAAAATGCCAGAGCAAACCATTAATGCCTATATTTGTTCCTCAATTGATGTTAAACAAAACCAATTTAACATGTTTTCGGTGCATCATATTCTACACTTACTTTCTATTGCAATCAGCACGATTGGATAGGTCAACTGTCAATATCTGCCAAGCTAATTGGCCAGATGCACCCATCAAAAATGTGTAATATGGCCACCCTGCTCCAGCAAAAAAAGGAAAATGAATATAACATCAAACGTTTAATATGGCCATCATGGTCCATCTGAGAATGGAACAGAAATTAAAAGAGCTTCAAAGAGAGAAGAAAATAAACATGGAAAGAGAAAACAGTGACCAGAGAGATAGAGAGAGAGAGAGAGATAGACGTAGTTTACTAATATAAGCTGAGGGCATTCAGCTATGGGCAAGACAAAAAAGAGAAAACGCACCAAGATTAGCATTAAATCCACCAAAAGCAAGGCTGCCGATGCATGCTATTCCAAATCCAGTAATCCATTCTTTGGTTGAATCTCCAAATCTCAAGGCTGTTGATTTGACACCCACTCTCACATCATCTTCTTTATCCTAGATCAAGGTTAAGAATGAGACAAACGAGACCCAAACTTCCATATATCAATGCAGAAATGCCAGTTCAACACCTTTACACATTATAGATAAGTACGGCGGACACAGAGTACAAGATGTTAGAGGGATAAACTGAGTTTTGAAAATCTAAATATATCTAAATTCAATACACAAAGATAGCATCTATCGAAAGGATCCAGAAGGTTAATATGGATTTGATTGCTTTGAAAAATATTCCATAAGCAAGTAACTTGTTCAAAATTGTGTCCAAAAACAAATGAGGAATAAGTAAAAGAAACCTTAGGATAACCAAGTACTACAGAATCTACAAGTCATTGAATTTCATGATATCAAAAGTCAAACCAATTGTAGAAGTGTAGAACAAAGTATTTCGCCATGGAATCACAACACAAAGCTCCAACAAGCAAATAGCATTGTTATATATCACATTTCTTAAGTTGGGATTCATTTGAGACCCATCAATTTATATTAACATCCAGGTGGCCAGAAGTTCTGAACAAAATAAAAAGTACCTGATGTGCATATATTGTATCATACACAAGTGTCCAAAATACACCAGATGCGTAAAGAGGGAGTACAATAGCAGGATCAAGACTTCCTCTAACAGCTGCCCAACCAAGTAAAGCCCCCCAGTTAAATGTCAAACCTAGATAGGCCTGAGGCTGCACCCACATATTTATTTTCAGATATATCAACTGATTTGTCCAATTATATACCACAGACAATATAAACATGGATATAATTTTGTTATACCACGTCTCTGTGCAGGTCTAAAGAGAGGCAGGGAGGGAATAAGAGAAAAGGTCAAAATAATAAAAGGGAGAAGGCAATGACAGAAAGAGCACTAACAGAGATAGATATTAGAACACATTACCCAAAATGTTAGTCTCTTCATAAGAGGATATGAAAATACCAGCAGCAAGGATGAAGCTCCCAATACTCGGCTGCAAGAAATTTCATGAATCAAAACCACCCAACTAGAACAAGAGAATATGGAAGGCATCAAATAGCTAAAAACTGCCATAAAGTGATTTTAAGAGGAAGATATTGATGGCTATAATGACAATTTGCACAATAATTATGTTACATATAGCATAAAGTTGTCTCTTCACTTGAACCAGAGAACCAAAACAGGTCAAGCCATAGTCTTGTAATGAAACTGCTTGGTACCTAGTAAGACACAGTTGAGAAAATGATTAAGTTTTCCTTTTGAATTAGATTATTGTTATGTTAACTCCCTGGTCCTATGTCACTGATCCAAGACCAACTGTACGCTAATTATCATTCTCTCCATGGTAAACCCCCACCTGAGGAGAAGATTACTTCACTACATACTGCATAAATACCTGGTACTCACAACATGTTTTCTGAGTGATTAAATATATGACATTCTGTGCAGAGAGAGAATCTAAATAGGATACAGTCAAGCTATAAAATATTGGAGAACATGCTCAAGGAAAGCACCAATCAAGATCATATAAGCAACCAAATGTTTGAGAAATTAACAATATAAAAATGTTTCATGATTAAGTAATCCTTGCATAATCAAAATAAAGAATGACTATAAAATAAAACAAACCTAAAGTTGTTCAATTGCAGAAGAATCCCAAGACCTAAACTCAATTGAAAAGCAAGAAAACAAAGTCCTTGAAATGGTGTCAAAATGCCACTGGCAACTGGCCTCGACCTTGTCCGCTCTACCTACACCACATTAAGCTATCAAACAAGCAAGGAAGCAAATGAATAATCATCACGTAGTAGAAGGTTCTACTTAAAAATACAGAAGAAAGATATATGAACAAAAATGCAAAAAGACGAAGCGCCTAAAAATGGTAGAATATATCAACAGAGAATAACTAATTAATCTATCCAATATGAAAAGAAGATACTGATCAGCAACATGTGCACATTTTCTAGTGGCAAAAGGTACTGCGAAGCAAAAGTTAATAGGTGAACTGAACGTGTAAGGGAATCAAACGATACAGTTTGAGACAGGAACAAACCGACACATAAAAAAGGATTAAAAGTTGAAAATGCGAAAAATGATTGTTACATGAAATATAATGTAAAAGAAAAAAACAGGGAAACCAGAATTTCCACTTTCTTCAATGATCATAAGACCACCTCTGGTAAGGGAAAAGTTGGGTGGAAAGGCAAGGAGAAGTGGAAAATGGAAGGGACCATCTTTTTTTCTTGTCTTGTTTCAAGGGGAATTGGTGCGGAATTTGGGTGAAACTGAAAGGGATTCTTTTATTTTGATCAAGTAACCCTTGGCAAATTTTGAATCACATAGCCCCTATTTGACACCCATTTTGTTTGTAAAATAATTTTTGAAATAGTGATTGATGGAAGATTGTGTGGTTAAAAAGTAATGAGAATTTTTGGATTTATGTGTAATATTATTTTATTAATAGAATGTATTGTTAAAATGAAGAAAGAGAAATAGAATGAGAAAAAAATGGATGTCAAACGGGGGCATAATAAAGAATCATTCAAAAATTTGTTTCATCCTATTTTCCCGCCGTCACCATAACAAACAAAGAGAGTGAATTCTCTCCTCTGATCCAATCTGGCTTTTCATTCCCCTTTCATTTCACCAGACTTCCTCTAGTGCCAACTGAGCTCAACAATCCTAAGGACCTAAGCCATTAGCAGAATTCTACATCCATTCGTACAAGTTCAAGCGATAACTGTGCACTATAATGTATAATTCCAGCCTTTTCAGATTTTTCTAAGTCAAGAAATAGTTCTGCAGTTCAGCCTTCATAAACCTCATATATAAATGCAGGCGTTAAATGCAGGCGTGTGTGCATATGAAACCTTAGGGCCTTTCTTGGTTGAAAATTACAGGGAAAGGAACAAAGATAAGTACGAAGTCCTGCTAATCAGAAGTTCAATAACATTATTAAGTTCAGATTGTGCATTAGACATGTATATTAATCACCCTAGTGTATCTCTTTTCAACTAAAGAATAAAGATTGAACTAATGACTAATGTCAAAGGCTTATGCATCTCTTCCTGTCTTTTGTACTTCATTTCTTCAATTAAATCCGAAATTTAAAAGGAGCCTCCAAGTCGAATATGAAGGAAATACATGTTTGAAATTTGTAGTAATTAGTTAAAAAATACACATATTACATATTACAAGCTCAGTAGCAAGCATAAAGTCCATTTCTTCAAAATTGCAATGTGGTAAAAATACAACACATTAAAGAGGAGAAATAATCACCATTCTATCAATATCCTGATCAAGTAGATCATTGACTGTACATCCTGCGCCACGTAAAAGCAATGCCCCTGAACCAAACAGAGCCATCATCTTAAAGTCTGGAAGGCTCCCCGGAACTGCTGCCATCGTTATAGACCTGCAACGAAATAAACAAAGATACCCCAAAACTATCAAATCCTAAAGCATTCAAACAGATAGTTAACCTTCCAATTCATAAAAGTATCCAGTACTTGAGCAATGTAAGCACAATTTTGCACAACTATAATTTCTCTAATGTACAAAAATCACTAAATAAACGAATGTACTAACCACATGCAGGGCCAAGCAAGAAGCCAAGTGCCAATCGGCTTATCGAGGCGCGCAAGGTGGGCATAAGGCCGAGCCTTTTCAGGTAAATAAATATCGATCCACGACTGATCGGGTTTGCTATTTTTCGGTTTTTGCTCGTTTTCCTTTGATGCTAGTGAAGAAATGTGAGAATTTCCAAAAAGCGTTTGATACACACCGAATGGTCGGATTAAATTAAAAGAATTGTAAAATTGGTGTTTTGAGCAGGAGTTTCTTCCGGAGAATTCGAAGCAATTAGAAGCATCGAGGAGAGAATGAAGGAAATTATTACTATGGTTTAAGGTCGGCGGAGGGTTAATGCCGGAAAGGGCAATTGAGAGGTAAGAGTGGCGACGGCTGAGGAGGCGGCGGCC